ATGTTATATTGATTGTGTTAATAATAATCATTTTATTATATTTTTATCTTATTTTGATAATTATTCATTTTTTATGTATTTATGTTTATAATTTTTATTATAATATGATAGTTATTTTTATTATTTTATTAAATCTGATAAATTTTTAAATCTTCAATCATGTCTTCGTCGTTTAATGAGCCGTCCGATTTTAAAAATATTAGTTACAAGATATTATTTGAAGATGCTTCCCCGAGAAAATAAATAATTGGTAGAAAATAAATAAATAAATAAATAAATAAATAAATAAATAAATAATATAAATTTAAAGTACTAAACTAATATGGTTTTTAGTCTTATATAAAAAATTGGCAAAAACACTGGTTTAAATTATTTTAAAATTACGGATAATAAGTAGTTAAAAAAATTAGAAAATGAAAAGCACGGTTCACAATCGGTACAATTTTCATGTTTGCATGGCATTACTTTAGTTAATTTTTGTTGTCCTTTACTGAAATCGTGCTGATTTCAATTTTCTTTTTTTACTTTTTAAAGTTTTTTTAATGTTTTTATAATATTTAATATTATTATTTATTATTTTAAATAATAATAACAGTAATAAATAATAAGAATAATAATAATAATATTATTATTAACTTAATTTTTATTCATATTTTTATAATCATTATTATTTATTTATTTTTACTGTTATAATTATTCTTATTAAGTTTATTTATTTATTTATTTATTTATTATTATTATTATTATTATTAATATTATTATTATTATTTGTTATTATTATAGTTTTTTATTATAATTATTATTATTAGTTTTATTATTATAATAGTCTATTTCTTTATTATATTATTTGTAATAATTATTATTAATATTAATAAGTGTTATTATTATTATTATTATTTTAAAATTAATAATTAAAAAAAAAGTGAAATTGTGCTCAAAGTACAACTTTAATAATAATAAAAAAAGGTAACTCAGTTTGTGTTTGAATTCAATATTATACTTGGAAAAGTAAAAATATGTTTGAAAATACCATTTTTTTTTAAATCTTGTTTTCAAACAGGACTTGCCAATTTTTCAAGTGTTTTAAGAATGTACCCACATATATAATTTTAAAATAAAATTCTTCTTATTATTATTACTATGTTTTCTAATTTAAATTTTACCACTTACATTAAATTTTCAATATTTTCTTTAATTATAACATTATCATAAAATGAGTTGAAAATATAATTATAAAAATTATATCAAAAACAATAAATAAGAAGAAAAAACATAGCGAATTAGTATTCATCTTTTCATAAATTATTACTAAAATATTTACATAAACTAATTTTTTAATTATGATTAAATATAATATAAATTGTATTTTTTTTGTAATCGTGAATTAATACTTTCAATGTTTTATAAACTTAAAAAGTTACATTATTTATATAAAAAGAGGTAAACTTGCAGACTTAATTTTTTTTTTTAATATAACACTATAGCCATAATTTAAAAGGACCTTTAAAAAGTTTAAAGTTGACTTTTAAAAGAATGTTGTTAGATAAAAATATTAGGATTTATGTTTTTTAAGAAGAGTATGCTTAGAATTCTATGAATATCTATTAAAAAATCACTTTAAATCCTTGTATATCACATATGACAATGAATATCTAGTTTATAAATTAAAAAAATAAACAAATTTATTTATAACCTTTATTCAAATAGTAACAAAAATATTATTGTAAATTTATAGATAATAAAAAAATTATTATTATTACTATTTTGTCGCTTTAAAGTACAAGAACCTTGTTTAGAATTATTATAGTTTATGAATTTAAAATCCAAATTGAATGTACATTTAACATCACGTACACATTGCAATGCCCATATCATATTTATACACATACAAAAAATGTTTAATTTGATGCATTGCTAGTTTAAAAAAAATTACATTTGAAATTAATTAGAAAAATGTTAAACATATTTCTTAAACACATATGTTGAAAAATCAGAAGCTTTCATAACATTAAAAAAATATAAGAATCAAGCTGAGAAAGAATCTGATTTATCCATTAAAAATCTTCATATAGATCATGGGGTGAGTTCACATCACATGAATTCAATGATTTTTACAATGAAAATGGTATTCGAAGGTAGCTAACAACTCCATACAGCCCTCAACAGATGATGTAGCTAAGCGGAAGAATCGGACGATCATCAATATGACTCAAAGTATGCTCTCTGGACATAAATTGCCAAAGAAATTCTAGCCGGAAGTTGTTAATTGGGTCGTTCACATTCTCAATAGAAGTCCAACACTATCATTGAAGAATAAAACCCCAGAAGAAGCTTGGAGCGGATTCAAACCATCAATATCCTACTTCAGAGTGTTTGGTTGCATATCACATGCTCATGTTCCTTATTGTAAAAGAACAAAGCTTGATGATAAAAGTGTGAGATGTATCTTTCTTGGAGTTAATGAGGAGTCAAAAGCATATGGATTGTATGATCTTATTTCTCAAAGGATTATAATAAATAGAGATGTGGTGTTTGAAGAAGACAATAACTAGAATTGGAGTAAACATACTGAGGAGGTTGTTGTTGTTGACTTGAATTGGGACGCTGATGATGGTGAAACAAATGCAGCAACTCTTGCCAATGAAGATAGGGCTGAAACTGATGAAGTTAATGAGGAAGAGCAAATGGGAAATGGATCCAATGATGGGATTCTGTCTAACATGGATGAAGAGCTACATGGTCAAAGAGTGAGACGAGAACCAACTTGGATGAGATATTATATTAGTGAGGAAGGATTGTCAAAAGAAGATACGTCAAAATTTGTCATGTTTGTAACAAATAATCTAATCTATTTTGAAGAGACTCAAAAGGATGCAAAATGGAGGTCAGCAATGGATGTAGAGATTGAAGCCATAAAGAAAAATGATATTTGGGAGCTAACAGAGTTACCAGTAAGAGCAAAAAAGGTAAATGTGAAATGGGTGTACAAGACAAAGTTTAATGAAAATGGGGATGTAGACAAGTACAAAGCACCTATGGTTGCAAAGGGTTACACAAAAAAATATGGTATAGACTACACTAAAATTTTTGCACCTATTGCACGTTTGGAAACAATTAGGTTGGTAATTTCTATTGTAGCTCAGAAAAATTGGAAAATTCTTCAACTTTTGTCAATTCAGCTTTTCTCCATGGTGAACTAGTGAAAAGGTCTTTATTGAGCAACCACCTGGTTATCAACAAAAAGGTGGTGAACAGAAAATATATAAGTTTAAAAAGGCTCTATAGGGCTAAAACAAGCACCACGGGCTTGATATAGTCGTATAGAAACATATTTTGCTAAGGAAGGTTTTAAGTGATGTCCTTATGAGCACACCCTTTTTGTCAAAGTAGGAGATGGAGGTAAAATCTTGATTATATGTCTCTGTGTTGATGATCTCATTTTTACTGGTAATGATGAACATATGTTTGAAGAATTTAAAAGTTCTATGATGCATGAGTTTGATATATCAAATCTTGGACAACTGAAATATTTTTTTGGCATAGAAGTCTTGCAAAGTCAAGAAGGTATTTTTATTTGTCAAAAAAAAAAATGCCCAAGAAGTGTTAGAAAGGTTTGATATGGAATTAGAGTGGACAACACTCTATATAAACAACTAATTTAATATCATGTTTGTTCTTGAGATATATAAATATATAAAAGGGACTTTCAAATTTGGAATATTTTACAAGGGGAGAGGCGAGGAGTTCATTGCTTATACAAATAATGATTATGTTGGATATTTGGATGATAGAAAGAGTATTTTAGGTTATGTTTTTCTATTAAGTTCAAGGGTTGTTTCTTGGTCTTCTAAGAAACAACCCATAGTCACCTTGTCTATATTACTGAAGTAGAATTTGTAGCCGTAGCTTCCTGTGCTTGTCAAGCAATTTGGATAAGGAGAATTTTAATAAATTTTAATCATGCTCATAATATTGAGACAACAATTTTCTGTGACAGTAGTTCAACTATTATTAAACTCTCAATTAATCATGTTTTTCATGGTCAAGCGTATAGATATCCAATTTCATTTTCTTCAAGAACTCAAGGAACAAAATTATAAAACTGATAGACTGTCATACGCAAAAACAAGTTGCAGATAATGACCAAGCCATTAAAGCTTGATCAATTTGTGAAGCTTAGAGGACTTTTAGGAATTTGCTGCTCTGATTCACATATAAACTGAATACATAATGTTTTTAGTTGAAGGGAGGATGTTGAAGTTTGTTTGAGTCTATTTTAATATTTTGAGTAATTCATATTTTTAAGGATTTAGTTAATGTGTTTCTAATTACCCTCCACATTAAGTGTTATGTGACAAATGTTGGGTTGCAGTTACACCTTTATTTTAATGAGTCCTTGATGTAAGGTTATATATATATATATATATATATATATATATATATATATATATATATATATATATATATATATATATATATATATATATATATATATATATATATATATATATATATATATATATATATATATATATATGGCGTATTAGTTAATAAATTGCTAACTGTTTCTGAGAAGATCCTTCATGTTTAGAATTACTATTGATCATGAATTTAAAATCCAAATTGAATATACATTTAACATCAGATACACATTGCAACGACCATATCATATTTATACACATACAAAAAAAAATGTTTAATTTGATGCACTGCTATAGTTTTAAAAAAATTACATTTGAAATTAATTAGAAAAATGTTAAACATATTTCTTAAACGTGATCACTTTCGCTCTAATTTCTCCAAAACGAAAGTTAATAACTTTATCAAGTATGGTAATTATTAATTATATAACACAATATATAACAAATCTAATTCTATTTGAGTTCAAACAGCAGTTTGATATGTCTACAAATTATTGATCATAGCCAGAAAGTTTGATATTACTAGAAATACACAGAACACAATATAATAATGAAAACATTTGAAATTATTCATGTGGTTCAGAAGAAGGAAAGTACTTCATCCCTTAAGAAGAAGAGACCAGAAGGACCATCATCTGGCAACAAAGCTAGTCTGACAGGGCATTCAGCACCTTCATCAATGGTTAAAAACCCTACATTCTGGTTCAGATCAGTCTTCACAAAGTCAGGGCACAAACAGTTTATGCGAAAACGAGGAAACTTCTTAGCCAGCATTCTTGTATAAGCATTTAAGGCTGTTTTTGACATGGTGTAGCCAGAAAGAACAGGTGGCCAGTTCTTGGATTCCAATGATCCTGCCTTGTAATCTTTCAGAAACTCCCTCAACACCTCATCAAGCTTTTTGTTTGTAAGGTTTTCAATGTCACTCAACACCCCTCTCGCCCAATCATTTGGTATATTCTGAAAACAAAAAATAAATAAATAAATAAATAATCTCTTAGTTAATTACATGATTTAGTCTAATATGACATGTCTTCCGAGGGAATTTACTGCTATATATACTATCAATATAAGATATGAGTGAAATTAACTTAAAAGATTAATATCATCTTCAATAACAAAAAATCTTAAAATATTAGGTTTTGATTTTTTTTCTTATATATTGTTTAACTTTTTCATTCTTAAATAATATGTGACTTAGATTCATACTTAGATTTTCTAACCATCTCTCCTTAATTATGACTCCTTTTATATTATTAGTACATGTAGTTTACTAGTTTGATGTACCATATGTTAGAAACATTAGTACATATACATGTATGTTTATCATAATGGAATACACTTACTTAACCTATTATTAGGAAGATTTTTGATAGAAAGATCTCTTAAACTAAATATGAGTTTAAGTCTCACATTATAAACCTATAACTTAATGTCTTAAAATTTTAATTTGAAGGTAATATTAATCTCCCCAATTAATTCTCTTAAAAACTCAATATATTGAATGATTTATTCTAAAGATAGGTTAAGAATGATATAATATTATATATGTAATATGATGAAATTAACTCTAATGTTATTTTAAAAATATAAAGGTTAATTCTAACTATAAAACTTTCTCACTTATTTATTTATTTATTTATATATATATATATATATATATATATATATATATATATATATATATATATATTGTTATAATGCATTGATGAAATATTGTTTACCTTCAATACTCCTCTTCTAGAGGAGACATTGACAATCCTAGGAGAAAGGGATAATTGAAGGAGGGGAAGAAAAGCTTCTGTAACTCTTTCTGCACCAAAAAAGTTAATTTCAACACATTCTTCCGCCAACTCATAATTTTGAGGTACTATTATATTCCAATCTGATATTTCGCCCCTTTTCTACAAGAACAACAACAAAAAAGATCACCATTAGAAAGAAACTTATGTAGGATTTAGTGAATAATTTTGAAACAACAAATCTTAATTTACACAAATTGAACATCAGGCTAAAAGATCTAACTGAGTTGATTCCTAACTTATGTAGACGAGTTTGATTCCTAATTAAAAAAAAATCAAGGAATTTATATTTTATTTTATATAAAATTGAATGAAAATAATTATTAAAATTAATAAATAAATTAATTCAATTATTACTCCTATGACAAAAAGTTTTAAAACTAATGATAATCGACTTAAGTTATCCATCTTAATAAATAGTATGAGGAATTATTTTTTAAAATTGATGATAATTAAAGTTGACAATATAAAAAAAAAAAAAGAGTTTTGTCTTTGTTCTAATATTTTCTTACTGTTAAATATTAAAAAATGTAAGAGAAGAAAAAAATATAAAAGTATAAATTGGGATGAGGAAATTGAAAACAAATAGATTCAATAACGTATTTTAATGAGATCTTTATTAATATTTCCTTATCAATATTTCCTTATCATGACTTATATCAATAGTTAAGAATCATAAGTTTTAAGATGTTAAAATAATTTTCTAGAATTCAATTAAAAATGTCCAACTAACGATAATTTCCTCTAGGTCTTATTTCCATGTGGTCAAATGGTAATTTACAAAATGTAATATGCCCTCAGGATTTGAGTTTTTAAATAGGAAGATTTAAAAAAAATTATATGCTATCAATATAAATAGTTATATATTGAAATTCATTAAATATTTATCCAAGTTAACTTGACATCACTAGAAAAACAGCAATTTATTCTAAGCTATGTCAAATCTTTTTAGACGTAGAAGAATAGTAAATTAGTTTAAATATGATTATTTTAAAATAAAATAATTTCAAATATATAATAATTTAGTAAAAATCTCAGTATATTTCAATTACGTTAATATAATTTTTATTGTTTAGAAAGACGTTTTCCCTATATTTACTTAAAACACAATTTATGAGTTAAACGTGTTTTCACAAATATTGTAAGAAGTTTTTAATTAATCATCAATAGTTTTCAAAGTATACTTAATCTTTTCCAATTATGTTTTATTTATATAAAGATATTGGTATAAATAGGACATTTTTAAAAACCTATAAAGAGAATTAAAATAAATTTTAGATAAGAATTCTAAAGCTCGACTAAGGATAGAAAAATTATATTTGAAGAAAAGAATTATTAACTAAAAATGTATTAATCAAATCTGTACTCAATCACTTTAAAGTTAAACACAAATCAGCAGGACCAAAAACGTTGACCAAATGTAGTTATTTAATGAACAAAAATATACCTTTTTACAATGAAAAAAAGGATCTTTCTATTCTCCTTTTTACACCTTGTAGCAACCTCAATCTCGAGGCATGCACATGGGAAATACATAATTTAACGTATGAATTGAGTATGACAAATAGTTCATTCACATGTAGTGTTTCAAATCGTGAACTATACCATGTGATAATGTTGCAATTAACGCTTCAATTGTCAACTTAGCTTCTAGAAAATGTTTCATACCGTAGCATTATTGTTTTGAAAATTTCTACTTATTGAGATCATTGTATTGTAAATATGAAGTGAATATCTCTACTTTCTACTATTTAAAGTTTTACACTAACTTTTTATTTATTTTAGAAACATTATACATTAATAATTTTTTTATATTAATCATGTACTAAGTTTTAAAATCATTATATTATAATAATGAAAATATAAAGGATGTAAATATAATTAAAAAAATTGAGAAAGTATCATTGTAATTTATGTTATTGATGTTATTTATATAAATCTTGATATTAGGAAAAATAGCACAAAAAAATAACCAATGTAATCACAAAATTATGGTTGTCATGTTATAGAGACAGGGAAGGAATAAACCTCACCTTCCTAAGAACATTCTCTCCATTTACTAGTCCTCCAGGAACACCTGCATTGTTCACCTGCACACCAAATAGATGCAAGAAAAAAAAACATACCAACAAAATTCTGGTTCCAAAAGTGCAATTAATCTGAACAAGATGAAAAAGGAGGGAAATACACAGTGACACATAAATTTCTACCAAGATGTCAAGTCTTCCAAATCTGGTTTTGATGAATTGTGCCAAAGCAGCAACACTAGGAGGGTCAGTAACATCAAGTTGATGAAAAACCAGAAGGTCTGAGAGACCAAACTCTTTCAATCTTTGCACTGCTTCCAAACCCCTTTTCTCATTTCTAGCAGTTAGCACCACCACAATTCCATTTGAAGCCAGTTTCTTGCATATTCCATAACCAATCCCCTTGTTAGCTCCTGTCACCACTGCATACCTGCATATATATCCAAGACAATAAGATCTGTAGCTAATAGAGTATATTTATATTTGTCTATGATAAGTTTTCAGCATATATATATTAGGTGATCTAAGTTATTATTATGTGAATCTTAAGAGTGAGATTTTCTGATTCACATGCAGCCATTTTCATTTGCTTTTACAGGTCCAAACTCATATATATTATAAAAGCTAATTAACAAATTCAAGGTTCCATGATGTATAGTTCCTTCAAAAGCATGAATACAAAACACAAAATCTTGATGAGTATCATTTAACTTCTCCTTACCTTTTTGCTTCTTCTCCCATGTTGTTAATGCCAAATAGAGCTTTTGTTTATTTGGTTGCAGAGAGAGTGGTACATGAAATGTTTTAGTCTGTTTTATGAAGCAGATTATGAACCCTGGACTCTTATATAGTTAGGGCAAATGCTTCACTCCTTGATCTTGTATACTTCTTTAAATTATATTCCAACACTTGGAACTCTTAACCCCGCGTCCACCTATAATAATATTAATTAAATAAATACTTTTGTCAACTTATTTTAAAAATAGTTTTTTTTTTAAATTAATATCTAAAATTATTTTTAAAAATTAAATCAAACAAATCCTAAATTTGAGAAATTAAAATGTTTGTCTAAAATTATTTTTAATCCTTCATTTTTAGTATTTAAAGTCTAAAACTACATTTTTCTAAATTTGAAGAATGATAATGATTTTTATTTTTATTTTTTAAGTTTAAGAGACTTAAGAAATAACTTATTTTCCCAATAATATAAGCCTAAAATGTATAATGATAAACTGATATATAATGACTGTTTTACAATAATGTGTACAATAATATTAACTTATGGCACTAATAATTAAATGTCTCACAAGATTGATGATATTGTAATACCTAAGCACCATAATGTTGCATGTTGCTTATTTAAAATTTGATAGATCACGTGTGTTATTCTATGCACAAAGAACTTACGGTATTTTTTTATTTATTTAATAACACATGAACTAAAATGCATTATTCAAAACTGTTGTTTGCTAATGATTTATTTTCCAATAATATGAATCGAAATTATTTATCCTTGAAAAACTGTTAAATAACCTTGCTTAACTGTTATTTATTAAACAACTACTTGTCATCTATTTTAAAAATATTTCCGGTTAAAAAAATGTTGTTAGAGTTAAATAACACTAATAAAACAGTCATAATATTTGTCTCACAAATAATATTATATATGAATAATAACATTAGGTGTAACTATAATGTATAAAAATTACTTATTATATAAAAATAAATATATTGTATATTTAATAATATTAATTAAATTTAAATTTTAGAAAAAATGAAGTTTATTTTATCCATTTTTTTTAAGTTTTTAATTTTATTTTTAGATATCTTTAAAATTCAAACTTATCTTTTTTTTTTTTCATATTTTAATATCAGAGTATCATAAAACATTAAAAATAATTAACTAATTTATAAAAAATAAAAAATTTATATCATATTTCATATTTTTGTTTACATTACACATGCTCATTGTTATAATAATAAATAAAAATAATAAAAAAATAAATTTAATTAATTTTTTTATTTAAAAATATTATTATGAGATTTTTTTAACTTTTTGTCTTATGCTTATTAAAAAAAAAGAATAAAAATATAAAAATATATAATTTTAATGTTTATAGAGATAAAATTATAAAAAAAAAGAAAAATTTAAAAATTAAAGAAAAAAATTACAATATTTATTTTATAAGAAGAAACTAAAAAAAATATATAAAAGTGAATGAATGATATAACTAAAAGATAAAGATATGAAAAGATAAAATAAGTATTTGATAGAAAAAATATTATAATAGAAAAATGAAAAGGTGAAAAGGAAATAAAAACAAAATTGTAAGTTAAAGATTATAAAAAGAATAAATATGATATTTATTATAAAAAAGTAAAAAAAATTATTTATATTTATAAAATAATATTTTTAATTTTAAAAAATAATAATTATATATATATATATATATATATATATATATATATATAAATATATAAAATTGATTGGACGTGGTACCGTGACCCCACATGCCCCATAGTTCCACCTCGGACCACTAATTATTAATAATTCATTTTAGAGTTTAACAAATTTTTATTTCTTAAAAAAATACTTTGATAAATTATAAAAAAATAAATATATATAAATTATCATTAATATCTACTTTCTAAACTTTATAATACTTACTAAACCAAAATATAAATATGTTGATCGTGAAAAATATTTAATATAAATTAATTATCATGTGAATTTTTTATTTATTTTATTTATATAAGTAAATAATAATGTTTTAGTTTAGATAATATTTTAATTAAATCCAGAAATATAATATTATTGGAAGTTATTAGGTTAATTATAAAAGGTTAATATTAGAATTTCAAAAAGTTCATTTTCAACCTATAAATACCCAATTATATCGTTAAGTTTTTCACATCACATAAAACAATAATATTTAGCTTCCTTAATCTCTTTGTTATTAAATTTGTATTAATATCAAAGTTAACATTTGAGTATTTTGAGCGTGAGAAAGCTTGAAGAAGAATAATGACTAGTCTAACAAATAATGTGGCTCTATCCCAATTAATAAAAGGAGTCAAGGATGTGAATTAAAGGCTATAGACGAGGGTCTTGTTGAGATCGCAAAGTAATCGAAAGATAGTCAAGGTCGATTTTGAGGAACTAGAGAATACCGAAGGATTATTAGCAAACACACACAATGCATTGAGAGAGAAGGGTGAGATGGATACATGTTGTATCGAGTTATTGATGAATTAATCCCAGAGAAGATAGAAAGTGTCAAAAACTCAACGAAAGTGTGGGAAAGTCTTAGAGAAAGAGTACAAGGATGATGATCGAGTCACACGAATTCGACAACAAATACTGCGTAATGAGATGAAAAACATGAGAATGAAGAAGTCAGAAGGAGTTTCCAAATACATATTGTTTGTTGAAAATGTGGTGAAACAACTTAATCAAAATGGAGAGGCGTTTTCCAGAGAACAAATTAATTGTGGAAAAGATCATGAGGTCAATATTGATGATTTTAAGAACAAATTCTGTCTGATAGAGCAAATAAATGACTTATTCGAGGTTATAATAAAAGAGTTTACCACTTCTCTTAAAACTTATAAACACCGATAAAAGAACAAGAAGGAGGAGGTAACGATGCAAAATGCTCAGAGTGAGACAGGTAAGAAAACTTTCTACTCTTAAAACATTTGAAAACGTGACCACAATGATAGAGGTCGAGGTAGTGAGAAGGAAGAAAAATATCAATAAAACAAAACTGGTGTGATAGTGTGGTGATTGAAGATCATTGACCTGTTTTAATTGTGACAAATATAATTATTATATAAATAATTGTTATTTGGACAATTGTTACAATTGTGGTGAGGTTAGACATTATGAAAAAAAAAATCAAATTATAAAAATGGTAAGAAATGCCTATATGAAAAAGGAGATGGAAGACAAAGAATAAAATTGTTAATGATATATCATAATTCACACATTTCAAGAATGCCAATTACAAGACAATACACGTGAAAACATATTACAAGTGAGCCATATTATGAAGAAACATACTTATTTAACGAATTGAAAAAAAGTGGAACACAATCCTATGTCTTTTAAATATGTTTCAAATATCTCACTAAAGTTATTAGAAAATGGATAAGAAACCGTTGAATTATCTAGTGTTTTTTTAACTTTTTGGTGAATACTGAAATAATGTCCAGATACAGGGTGAACAATTCCCAACGAGGCGTTGACAATTTTTCAGAAGCGGAGACGTATACATAGGAATTGCTTAACATTATAAAATATATATTTTTCTACACAAAGTTAAAATTTCAAAGTGTCACATGTTGTCAGTAAGGACAAATTAAACCCAAAATCTACCTGGCGTTAACAGCGTCCTACAAAACAATATTGATTAATAAAAAATAAAAATAAATAAAACAGCTAAGTTTTTAATTAAATATTTTTAATTGTCCAATAACTAACCACTCAAATCATATTTATATAAAAAATTTTTAAATATAGAACAAATAGAAATTATTTTTATTTTTATTTTATTTATAAAATAATAATAATATATAATATTTATTTAAATATTTTTTAATTTTTATAAAATTAATTTAATCTTAATTTCAATCTTACAATTTTTTAAAATTAGTTTTATACAAATAAAAATAGAATAAAAATATAAAATCTCATAAATTTATCATTATCTTAAATTAAAAATATTAAATTAAATTAATATTTAGTATAATGATTAATTAATTTTAAGTAAAAATATTATATTAAATTAATATTTAGCATAATGATTAAATTATTTTTAAGTTAAAATATTATAGTCAATTAATATTTAAGGATAATAATTAAATTATTTTCAAGTAAAATATAAATATTAAAACTTATAAAAATTTAATATAAGATAATTAAAAGTAACGTGAGATAACAAGTTCTTTAAATGAAGATATATGATTTATAAGACTAATTTTGGAAAAGATAATGTAATTTAGTCTAAAATAATTATATATGAATATTATTTTATAAGTTAAATATATGATAATAATACTATGATGTTCCAAAAGCAAGAGGAAGCTTATTACTTGAAGAAAACAACCGTAATGTTTTTACAGGCTATTATGTATACAAATTGTTGTCTTAGATCAAAAGGGAATGACCTCATCCATAGAGAAAAAGAGGCCAGAAGGACCATCATGGGACAACAGTGCTAACTTAACAGGACTTTCAACACCTTCATCAATGCTTAACAAGCCTTGGTTATGGTTTATATCAGTCTTGACAGAGCCAGGACATATACAATTTATGCGAAAATGAGGGAACTTCTTAGCTAGCATCCTTGTGTAGGCATTTGCACCTGCTTTTGCCATGGTGGCACCAGAAACCACAAGTGGCCAATTTTTAGATTCCAATGATCCTTCTTTGTAATCTTTCAGAAACTCTCTAAGCACCTCACCAACTTTCTCCTTTGTCAGGTTCTCAATGTCACTGAAAACTCCTCTTGCCCACTCATTTGGTATGTGCTGAAACCACAATATTTGTTTTAATTTACCTTCAAGACTCCTATTTGTTTAAGTTGGAAAATGCATACATATTTGTTTAAATTTACCTTCAACACTCCTATTTGTCCAGACACATTGACAATCCTTGGTGAAGTGGAGAGATGGAGCAGGGGAAGAAGAGCTTCAGTTACTCTCTCTACACCAAAGAAGTCTGTTTCAACACATCCTTT